CGGACCTGGAAGCCACCACAGAAACAGCAAAATGGAGCTCTGCAGCTGCAACCAACTCCTGCACTTACACCATGAATGGCAATCAGGGGTTTCCTCACTCGCTGCTCCTTCTGTACTCTGGGAACTGCTAAGGAGAATTAAAATAAAATTGAGAGACAAATTATATAAATAAATAAATAAAAATTATTACTATGATTACAGAAAGGAGGAAAAGAGGAGTTTTCCCAGGCAATTTCTGATGTCTCATAATTGGCAACACAGCCAACAAATACAATCATTGCACCTCACAGCCTTGCAAAACTGCAGCCCTGCAAAAGGCAGTTTCAGAACAAAGCAGGCAGCCGTTTTTGCATTCTCCAAGAGAAACCACATCCACCACGCTGGCATGAACAGAACAGTATTTTTTTGCCCTAAACTGTTAATTTTGTTTATTACAATAGTGGCTAGAATCCAACGCAGACCAGACATTTCTTTGTAGCAGCTATGACAGCTGCTGTTCTGAACTGCGGACACACTGGGAAGGAGATAAAAGCCAAGTGTGAGGGTGGACTGGGTTCACCTACACCAGGGCAACACAGCCCCAAGGACTGTGCACCAGGGCACCCCAAAGCCTGCACCCTGCCTGAGCAGAGCCAGCAGCAGGGGCTTACAGAAGGAAATTCAGCATATCCCTACCCCACACATGCAGTTTTTCTGACTCTGTGTAACTGAAGGAACCGCTACAGAATGTATTGGTTGTGGGTTTGGGGTTTTTTTTGAAGAGTGGTGGTGTTTTAAGCCAGTGGAGGACATAGCACTCTGGGATTTTTCCACTAGTCTCCACACTTCAAATACTGACTTTATCCCATATCCACCCATAGCTTTTTCCTTTACCCTTCCTTATTCCACCTATCACTAAACTAATTTAGTGTTAAAACCGAAGAATAAGAAAAACTTTTAAGAATTGGCCAATCTGTTTTTCCCCAAGATACCACTGCTAGAAACTGATGCCTGCCATCTACTGGCACCTTGCTCAAAATGCAGTTTTAAGCCAAAAATGCACATCTCGGAGAAAGTTTGCAGAGGAAGATTAAGTTACTGTCAGAAGAAAAACCCTGTCCAAGCTCTCAAGGACAAAAAGCTCTGCAAGGCTGACAACAGACCAGAAACTGGGTATAAGGACAGTTTTTCCATATGTCACTTATATTCATCTTGCAACTCGTTTGTTTTAGGTCCTGGTAGAGGAACCCACTCTAAATGGTGTTGTGTTGTTGACTCTCTTTGTCAATTGTTGATTGTACGGCCACTTGTTCGAGAATAACAAAGATATTAAATTACAGCAATAAACACCGGTTCCAAGCTGCCTTCAATGGAATTGCTCCGAAGTGATGAACTAGTCCAGTAAGTGACACTTACCAGGAGGACAGGATGTCAACAGGTACCAGCACATTGATGCTCTCAGATGGGGGGGTCTGAAGGTCTAGTGGGGAAAGACAGATACAGCCGATCTTCCAGAAAGCAGCTGAAATACAAGATATTATTTTAACAACTACATTCTGGAATAGCACCACCTTTCAAACCCAAAGATGGTGTATTGTCCAGGTGGTTTTCACCTCCAGCATGGCTGAGCCCACTCTCACACAACCTCCATAGCACTGGAGTCATCGTGCCTGTGCTCCTGCATCAGCGGCTGGCCTGCCCCACCACCAGGCAGTCTGGTCCTCCACTCCAGGTCAGGGGTTTTATCACAAAAGCCACACAAAGGGGACAAGCACAGCAGCACTGGCTCAGGTAATTAGTTCCCAATCAGCTTCTGGAAGTTGTTTCCCACCAACCACCGGCTCAGCAGAAACCAGAGCAGTGAACAAGCAAAGCGCTGCCGTGAGTCACCTCACAAACTGAGGATGAAGAAACCCTGCACCTTCCCTGCTTCTCTGCTCTTTTCTTTTCCTCCTTTCCCACAACTGAGGCTTTCTACAGCACCACAGAAGCCCAGCCCTCCTTTGTAATCAGAAATGTCTTTGCAGAATAAGGGTGTCATTACCGAAACACCTCTAGTGTCTCAAAGCCTCATTGTCCCTCATGCCGCTCCAATGCTCTCCCCACCTTCACATCTCTGTCCTGTTTTCCCATTTGCTGGAGCCAGAACAGATCTGAGCCACCAGACCTACAATGAGTCACAGATACCCGAGTCTGGTGAACTACTTTTTTATTTGTTTGTTTAAAGACCCATGCAACCTGACTTACCACTTTTCCCCGATGCCTGTCTGTAATGTGCTTATTGTAACATACACAAAATTAACTCAGCTTAAAAATAAGATCCATCGCATTACCTTGATGTACCTTTAGAGAACATCGCTGTATGCATGGGTCAATTATATATCCTATTATACCAGTATTATATCATAAAACACTGAGAAGAAAAGGCAGTAACATCTCCCTTATTTATTTTCCCCTTTTTCATTTTAGTCTCTTAATTACTGGTCTCTTTCTGCAGATTAACCTGGAAGAGTTGTGACTGATATCCCATCAGTTTATCAGAATTATTTTTAATCCACAAGATTACAAACAGATTTCAATTAAGTTTGTCTTGGCTGAACTTTTATTCCAATTTAGCTTCATCTTACGCCGTAACTGACAACACCAAAGTCATGAGCAGAAACACTGAAAGCACTCTCTGATGGAGTCAGGAGTATAGCTGCTCCCCGCCCAGTAATTTGACATTAATTGGACTGTAAATGTATTTTTTTTTAAAAGTATCTCTTTCTCTGCCAGGATTTCTATTTCAAGAAACATTTTAATTCAAGAGCCCAATATTTTAACCTCATTCTCCAAAAGCCAGGTTTAAAATCCTTAAGCTGTTTCATAAACTCCTTTATAAACACCTTCAAACGACTCCAGCCTCCCCCACGCCAGCACACACGCTGTTTATGCCAACAACAAGGCACAGTTACCCATCTCCTTATTCAAAGTGATTTAAAGCATAACGCTGTGTACAAATCTAGCAGAGAGCTGTCAGCCAAAATTTTACTACGCAAAGACATTTTCAGGTCTTTAAAGTTTTGGGTCTGTCTTCAAACACCTTCAAAGGTGTTCACATTTCTGATGCAAGCAGTGCTTTCTCTCTAAAGATAACCTTAATCTGGATACTAAACATATTTATTTTTTACCTGCTTCTCTACTCTAAGTGTGCCTGTTCTGTGTCTGCACCTCTGGCAATATCTCAATAGTTTGTAAAACTCCTAAAAGACAAATCTCAATTTCTGTTCCTGTTTACAAAGACCAATTGCACTCATTCTCACAGAAGCACAATTGCTCACAGCACATTACAAAGCCTTCACATCCCTGGGTTCTTATCTTAGCAGGAGGCACAATCATTCCTAGAGAAAATTTTACAGCTGTACAGCCAAGTTAAAGTATCTGTGGAGAGGAGGGTCCTCCACAACCACCAAAACTCTCAGAGCTGGCAAATGAAGTGGCCATCCACTGACAATTCCCATCACAATTCAGACCAGCACACTGCAGCCACATTGGGAAATCCCGCAGGATGAAACAACTCATTCTTGAGCTTCCTTGACTCAATGGTTTTATTTTTCTTAAGAATACTTCCAGAGGACAGAGAGACATGGACATGTTACAAGTCTTCATATTCAGTTCTATCTCCAATCCTTTAAGAGAAAAAAAACCTGCAAATAGAATCTTTTTAGTAAGTGCCAACACTGCTCTCAGCTCTGGCTAGCAGACAGTCCCTGCCCCAGAGAGCTTCCACTCTAAGAGAGGGAGTAATACAAAGGGGAGGTTCAGAGGGAGAAGGAGGGTGACACGGTTTGTCATGCTGCTGGTGCCACGCACGGCGACTGGTACATCTTTGTGCTGGCAGTCAGTACATAGACACTGAATAAACCACACACTGCACATGACAGAACATGTTCTTTCTGCAGGTGTTTGGAAGGGAGAAGGTAAAGAAGCTCTCAAGAAAGTTTTCAAGGCAGTCCTGCGGCGAGCAAGGCATTTGTTCTATGTAGAAATTTTTGCCTATTTACATACTTTTTTAAAAAAGCAAATAAAATTATAGTTATGCCAAAAGCATTCATCAAATCGGTTGCCTTACAAAAATAAATATTTCAAACAATGTGTTTGTTAAATAAGTATCAATAGGGCTGGAAAAAATAAATACATGTGTTCAAGCCATCTTGTTAAAACACAAAAAGCTCCAGTTCCTTACTGAAAAGTAGCCATGGAGTCCCAATTAATGCAGCAACTGTTCAGAGCATCCTCTTCTTGCAGTAACACAGGAAGAGGAGTCCCAAGCAGCAAAGAACAGATTCTTAATAAAAGGAATTTATAGCACTGTGTTCCTTATAGGAAAGCACAGAACATTTTCACCTCTGCTGAATGACAGAGGCTAGGAAAGTGGTGTGTGATATACCCCTGCTGAAATTGTCTGCTATTTCCAAGCAGTGAGAGGCTAACAACTTTTCTCTTGTTAGAAAAAAAAAATAAAAAATAAAAGAAAAGTAAAGCCCATCTGTAAATTTGATTATGAACATATGTGTATAGTCTCCTGATTGAGCAAAAAATTAATCCTCCTTAAAAATACTGAGCTACTCTTCTTCCCCCTCCCCAAACAGCAACTCTCCTGTACAGAAACAAGATGTTTTAACACAACGGTACCTACAGAAGGGCTGTTACAGCTGTTACAGGGGCAGCTCGACCTCAGGCAGGAGACTGTCACTGCTTGGGAGCACAAGCTGCACCAGTTTGGGATGGTCCAACATGAAATCAATGTTTCCATGGCAGCCCCTTGTATTTCAGGGGCGAGTTCATTGCCCTGAGCTCCTGTGTCAGGAGTCAGACTCAGTTTGGCCGGTGGTAGTCACAGTGCTCCAGGTGATCGAAGGCAGGGTACCCTATTCCCCACTCTCATAAGGCAGCCGTACCATTCCAGGAAATCAGTTTCCTTCTTGGAGGTTTCTGTTTTTTGTGGTCCTGTATGTCCTCTTACTTTTTACATTGTTTTTCTACCTATTTAAAAGGAGCAACATGCCCAGATTAATAACAGTGGTCAAGTAGGCAAAGAATAAAACGTCCACAATGCAAGCTCTACATAGGTTTACAATGTACTGGTCATGCATAAACCCCTACAGATCCTGGCAGGCATTTAAACATTTAAGTTGATGTAAGATCAAATTGCTAATGAACGAACTGTTGGGTGGACTGTAGCCAGCTTGAAATCACTGGTAGGTTCTGCATCTGATGTCACAAGACTTAAGTTATGTCAAATCAGTGGTCCTCCACTTTAACTCTCTTTGCTTTCAAGGAAAGATGCTGCAACAAAAGAAAATAAAAGAAAAATTGCTTAGCGTATACACAATTAGAAAAACATTCAACTAGAATGCTTTCAGCCTTTTATCCCAAATTAAATAAATTCTTATACAAATATCAAAGACAACCCTTCCCAAGCTCTACTTGTTATTGATATAGCTAAAAGAAACCTAAGAAACTGAAAAACCACATGTATCCCAAAGTGATATTCTGGCTTGGTATAAAATATCTTCTAGTACTTCCATACAAACTGCAAGCATAGGAACAATTTCCCACTGGAAGCAAGTTGTGAGCATGTAAAAAAGCACGGCAAGACACTTGTGGTCCCCACAATGTATCTGCATAAACTCTAGCGGTTCTGCAAAATTTGGAATGACTCAGAATTGACTGAGACTATGATCAAGCTGCAGAAGAAAATCTTTTAACACGGAATTCTGTTCAGTTGGAATTTGCTTTCAACTTGATACAGGAATAGAAATTTCCATATTTCAGGGATCTCTTATTAGCACAAAGATGTATCCTGCAGTAGAAAAAGGGTCTTAATGCCTATAAATTAGCATAAATTTGTGTCTTGTGATGGCTTGCTTATTCAAAACTCACGTGCATAATTCAAAGCTTTACACAACAATTTTCAAACATTTTATAAAGACACCCAGATGTTTTGGCTGCTAAAGACAACTGACCAAACTGGAAAATACACTTTTCCTCAAAACTAGCACTATCCTCCAGAGCTTCTATTTATTTTAGGATGAAAGCAATGCTTAGGTCATACTGCAAACTGAGGTCATCTCTATCAAATCTAAAAGATGGCAAAGGTAAAAATCAGGTTCTGATGCAATTTCATAAATATCTACAGCAGTAGTAATACTACCTTGAAAAATACGGTCTCTCAGACAGTACTATTTAAGACAAGTTTTCTTCACTTAAGAAAAGCAACTCAAGTTTTGCCTGAACAAGTTATTGAGTCACATTCACCAACACCACCTACCTAAAGGAAAACCTCACCCAAACTTTAGCCTGTGGAGAGGTCACGTCATAATGGGATGTTATGTAGTGTATTGGATGCACAACGTGTAAATACGTGAGTCAAGAGGATGAATTATTCCAGGAGCAGATGTGGTACTACTGGAACATTGGCTCATCTCCCTTTTACTCCATGCTTGCAAAATGTCTAACAGCAGCTAAAGACTCAAGGGTCTGCCCTGCAGGGGTCATGGCTGCCTTTGTCAAATGTATTATAGGGAAAAAAAACCCAAAAAACCAACAACAGAAAACATTCAGCTACTTAGTAAGTGCATTTATAGATGGTAAGTGTCTGGATAACTGAGATGAATTATCCAAGCTCAACATTAAAGAAAGAACCAAAACTCTCTCAAGTCAATTACATGGACAGATGCCACTGCTGCCGTACGCTGTAACCACAGAGCTCCATGCACCACAGTGTTTTTCTTTTTTCTTTTTTTCCAAAAATCCCAGAAAGGAAAGAAAACAAACATCAGACTCGCCGAAAAGTCAAATAGTGTAGCAGATGTATAAATCAGAAATAGCCATTTGTAGCCATATGCATGAGCAGATCTCATTTTGCAGAGGTCTGATATCCAAGTGCATTTTTTCACTCAGTATTTCAGAAATACTTCACTAACTTAGAATACAAAACTCAGAAGTTATTAACCTCCCATGGGAAATTCACACGCAAGATCAATTCAGTCATCTTGCCTGTACAGAATTTACATGCAATGTGGTATCAACAGTTCCAGCAAAACTAACATTTAGACAATATTTAATACCAATCCAGTTCTCAGAATGACCAGTGAATTAGTCAAGATTGATGGATTCTCAGGGGACACAGTTGGAAAAAGATGGTGGCAATCATTAGAAGATACTTGTGAAGAAAAGGTCTGTATATCACACACAACAGAATTTGCAATAAAAGTTTGCACAAATAGCAGCTGTTCTTTGCCATTTCAAGTTTCAACAGATCAGAGCTGATTTTCTTTCAGTAAACATTACTAATGGTCAAAAAAAAAGGCTCATGATTTGCACAAACATTTGCAAAGCATGCAAAGACTGCTCTGAAATGATTCTGCCAAGTAGGACCATTGCCTAGCTATAGTACTGCTCAGGGTAGTGCTTACTGTGAGCCTATATTCAAGTGTAAAATGGCTGAAGGTTACATTTAGCAGAGGGATATACTATTTTGTAACTTTGAGATCTTGTTTGTTGGCTGGATAATAGGGAAAAAGCTTTCATGCATCAATGTATTATCCTCTTTCTTTATATTAAAACCACAAAAACGAACAAAACCAAATTAATTTTTGTACCATTAAATAGACAACAACAAAGCACAAACACTTAAAAAGTTCAGATACAAGAGCTGCTAACACAGCAATGGTACCGTTTGGGCTTTATGCCGATTCCGTACCGTTCCTTGCTGGTAAAAATGAGGGGCCAGTTCCAAGAGCCACGCAGATTCGACGGCAGTCACATCTCTCATGTAATATTTAGCGGTCTGTATGACTTCATTGTACACTACCCTAAGAGAAAAAACAAAAAAAAGTTTGCTACAAAGCAATGAGGGATAGAAATGATTAACAGCGTATTTGGACAGTTTCACATACGTGCTGCCAGAGGTAGTATTTACAGAGTGACAAGAGAGTCTTTAAGTTACAATACAGCCTCTTACCTCTT